CAGTAGACAAATAGGTAGATATACAGATAGAAAGATAGGCAAATAGACAAGGACAGATTGACAGATAGATAGAAAGCCAAATAGACAGGTAGCCAAATAGATAGAAAGACCGATAGACATATAAACAGATTGATAATTAGACAGATATATAGACACTATACATTAGACAGTATGACATATGAAATATATAAAGATAGACAGATGAAAAGACAGGATATATATAGACAGAGAGTCAGATATAGACAGACAAACAGAAAAGCATGCCACGAAAAAAAACACATTTATTTACTGTGAAAATTTTGCCCAGTAACTGCATTAGTTCTGGCCTGCCAAAACTGCACCTAATCGAACGTGATATGGTTTTGTTCACAAGCGATATTATAAATGATACACCTATCAATATCATATTATCATCTGAGCCAAAAATTCAAATGCATTCTCTATATTCATCAGTCTCCGAGAACAAACGATCCTTCTCTNCTCTTTACAACTGAAAATGACTCCTAACAAATAATAATTGATATCCGATTCAAAAACCTTTGCGGATCAAGATTAGATATCTATTTGTTTTCAACCAGGGTTTTCTCTATTAAAGAAAGTTGCGCATTTCTGCCTTCAGAAACAAAATAGGGTGTAATCAAGCAATCCCTTCTTTTAACTCACTATTTCGGAGTCCCTAACTTCTTACAAAGGTTTGAACTCCTTTAAATTGTTGCTAACTCCTAAAAATGATAATAAATGACTTGAATCCTAAATGAAGTTCAGCGGATAAGAATCTGTAATATCTCCAACCTAGGCCTACCCTTCCAAACTTAAAGGGAGTGTTCGTGAATTTTGAAAGATTCGTAAACTGTAAAAAAAAATTCTGTCTGTCTGTTTGTATGTCCGATCATAACTCAGGAACCCCTGGACTGATTTGCCTCAAATTTAGATTGTGTGGACTCGAGAGAGCCATGGGATTTTCTTGGCTTGGTTTCGATATTCTAAGTTGCGTTTGTGGACTATTATAGCGAAAATTTAGTTTCCCGGTAAAATCGTTCAAGTGCGGGTAAACGGCGGGAGTAACTATTATAGTAACTTTGACAGCACTGGGTTCCCTACCTAGTTTAATATAAAATCACCTTTTCTAATCCTTATAAGCTGTGAGATCCTTATCGAAAAATGCAAACAATCCACCACAATTAATTTTAAATGAAAAAATACATTTGCATCTTTTTTTAAAATTGCGGGGAAACAATCTAATAACCTTTATTTTTGGAGGTTTTTATATATTGCCTCTTCAAACCCTTTTACTATATAAATAATGATTTATTTGTCTGAAAATATTAGAATGTTCTTGCTAGGGATAACAAAATATTTACCTAACATTCTGTAAATAATTTCGAACGATATGTTCCAAATTTCGAAAAGCTTTCGGAAACTCAATATTTCGAACGAAATTTCAGATTGTTTGACAATTGTGCCACCTAGTTCATTATAAAAATAAATCTTTAATGTACGATTTTTCATTCAAATCTTTCTTTTTATGTTTTATCATCATCAACTTTAAAAAGTTTGCTTATAATTAATTAATAATTATATCTTAAATCTATTCTTATCTTTAATTCTTTCTTAGTTTTACAATTATTATATTATCAAAACTACTTTTGAGAGAACCCCTGCATCTCAGTTGAGATTTCCTGCACGCAATATAGGAGAACGTTTTTTATTTCTGAACACCCTGCCAATTGTTTTGGAAGACCCAGCGTTTTTAGCCCTAAAGTCTTTGGCACAGATTCTTGTTTATAGATGATTATTTGATTACCATCCAATATCTATCTATCTATCTATCATTCTATCTAGCCATCTATCTTTCCATCCATCTATCTATCTATCTATCTATCTATCTATCTATCTATCTATCTATCTATCTATCTATCTATCTATCTATCTATCTATCTATCTAAAGGGGGGAAAATGGAATCAAGGATTAGTAGTTAGAAGACTATGGGTGGTTTTTAAAACTTTTTCCTTTTCCCAGCCCTTCCCCCTTTCTTATTTTCCCCTCCCCTCCCACCATTATCATATATCATTTCCCCTGATGCTAAATTCTGAATGTTTTGCGGCTTATTTCAACATAGGTGTGTCTTAGCTCATCATTCAATTCATTGTAATTCGTCCAATTCATTATAACTCATGCAATTCATAATAATTCATCCAATTCATTATAATTCATGCAATTCATAATAATTCATCCAATTCATTATAATTTATGCAATTCATAATAATTCATCCAATTCATTATAACTCATGCAATTCATAATAATTCATCCAATTCATTATAATTTATGCAATTCATAATAATTCATCCAATTCATTATAATTTATGCAATTCATAATAATTCATCCAATTCATTATAATTCATCCAAGTCATTATAATACATCTAACTCATTATAATTCTTTATAATTCATTGTAATTCATCCAATACAATGTAATTATTTATAATTCATTGTAATTCATCCAACTCATTACAATTCATTATAATTCATAGAAATTCATCCAATTCATTATAATTCATCCAATTCATTATAATTCATCCAATTCATTATAATTCTTTATAATTCATTGTAATTCATTCAATTCATTATAATTCTTTATAGTTCTTTTTAATTCATTATAATTCTTTATAATTCTTTTTAATTCATTATAATTCTTTATAATTCTTTTTAATTCATTGTAATTCATGCAATACATGCAATACATTGTAATTCTTTATAATTCATTGTAATTCATGCAATTCATTGTGATTCATGCAATTCATTGTAATTCTTCTAATTCTTTATAATTTTTTATATTTCATTGTAATTCAACAATATTTCAAAATTCTTACATTTTTGCTCAACTCTGAAAAGTTCATGGTTTTTATTATTATATTCAATAGAATTATACTTTGTCTTTATCATTCATAAAATTCTCCGAATTTCATCTCTCCACCTTTTTACCCATTTCTACTCGTTAAGTGCCTAAATATATCTTATTTTTTTTTTCTCATTTGATTTAAGTTTATAATTTACTATACTATAAAGTTTATTAAGCTATAAGCTAACAAATAATTAAAGAAAAAAAATTGACTTCCCTGTTCTTCTGCTAACAACTTTGGACTATAACTTTAACTTTTCCCTTCTTGTTCTTCTGCTAACAACTTTGAACTTTAACTTTAACTTTTCCCTTCCCTGTTCTTCTGCTAACAACTTTGAACTTTAACTTTAACTTTTCAAGTCAATTTAATGTTTATTAGAAACAGAAAAAACCAAGACAGAAAATCAAAGAAGAAGATGAATCTGTAAATTGTACAGTGTACACTATACAATGTACACTGTACAGTGTACATTGTACAATGTACACTGTACAATGTACACTGTACAATGTACATTGTACAGTGTACAATGGATCTGAATAACATGCAACGAATTCACAGAAACTATTTACATGATTTACAGCAGGACCCATAAAACTGTGGAGAAAAAAGACGACATTTAAGAAATCTTTTTGAATTTTAATTTTGTTATAGATCAAATAGTTTTTCTGCAGTTGCTTGAAAATCAAATTTGTGCACAGTGTACAGTGTACAGTGTACACTGTATACTGCACTATTTCTGTGTACGATAATCAAATTGTTTTAAAATGAAAATGTAAGTGTAATAGTCGTCTTCTTTTATCAAAGTGTTCTAGGCCCCGCTGTTGTATGATTAAACTTCTTAAAGTGAGATATAATATTTCTTCTTTTAAACATCATCCACTACAACAGCCTACGCACTTTTCTTATACATATTCATTCATTCATTTATTCATCCTTGTATTTATCCTTCCTATCATTCATCCTTTCATCCTCATCGTTTATTCATTTATTCATTCTTTGCTAAGTATCTTTTTATGTATTCATCTAATACACTGTTATTACTAAAATATTTATACCTCCCTTTTCCTCCTTCTTTCTATACCCCCTCGTATTCTTTCTCTACCCACCCCCCTCTTACTCTACCACCCCTTCTTCATCTACCCCCCCCTCTTATGATAAGATAATAAAATGACAAGTTCTCAAAAACATGTGTGGCGAATATAAATAAGTAAACTCAGACACAAAATGTATGATTAAAGAGACTCATTCAGTTTATTTAAAAGTTACTTTTCAGATTTACAATTTCCAATTTCAAATCCACATCTGAGTAAGTATTAGAAAGATCTTAATTTTGTTTGAATTTAATGAATTTGAGCCGCGTCTTAAATCGCCAAAAACCGGCTTCAATTAAGCGTCGGCTTAAATCTTGAAACAATGAATACGATTTTAAGTGGAACCATCCATATTTGAGCCGCGGCTTAGATTAAAACCGCGGCTCAAATTCTTTAAATTCGGCCTCTTGTCGTTTTCTGTCTTTGAAAGAAATACGCTGAGATCAGCTGTAATTTTTTCTCCTCGTCTTTGCTGCGTAAATCCGGAAGTCGTTTTTTGAAAAACTCAAGATATAAAACAATAGTATTTACTCAATTAAAGGTTTCAGGTTAAATGAAAACTGTTGAAGACTGCAGTAGACATGTTAAAAGTACTACTGCAAAAAGTTTTCTGGAATAGTTAGTATAAATCTCGACACTTCTCTTGCTCGATGAGTGCTTACTATCCCTGAGGAGTCTTTATTAAACTTTCATTGATAGAGTGGCATGGCCGATTAACACATCAGGTTCCCTTTGAGGCTTTTTCTGAAAGAGTATGAAGTAAATATCATTATTTTTGAAAATCAATTATTTAAAAATTGTGGGTTTTCTATGAAAGTGGCGCATTTAATCAATTTATTCCAAACAAAAATCTTAACGGTTCAACTTTATCATGTTTAGTTAGGGGGAATGGAGTCATAGTTTTTAAGAAAATAAACAAACATGAAGCATGCTTCTAGAGATTTATCTATCTATCTAAATTCTGACAATTAAAAAATTTTAAGTTTTTACAAAAATTTCAGACTTTTACGTGAGTGTCTCCAAGATGTGGACGATCTGACGCAAACATCGAGCAGTATTTTTCCAATTACTCCTTTTAAACTCTAGTAAGTAACAATTGAAAACTTGAAATGTATATGCCTAGGGCTACACAAAAGTACAAGCGAGTTGGTGAGGTTAACCCAAAGACCAAGGCGGTGGGACACTTAAAAAGCCAAGGCTGTCTGCAAAATTAATGACTAACTTTAAGAGTTGTCTAGTTCTCAGTGCATAAACTTTAAAAAATTGATTTATAAAAGTTATTTATTTAAAGAAATAAATCTAAAATTGTTTAACAGAAGGATGGGGTCCATGTCTAAAAACACATCCATGTACACTTTAAGTGTACAGGATCCATGTACACTATAACTGCACAGGATCCATGTACAATAGAAGTGTTATACAGCATCAATGTACACTATAAGTGTACAGGATCCATGTACACTTTAAGTGTACAGGATCCATGTACACTATAAGTGTACAGGATCCATGTACACAATAAGTGTACAGGATCCATGTACACAATAACTGTACAGGATCCATGTACAATAGAAGTGTTATACAGCATCAATGTACACTATAAGTGTACAGGATCCATGTACACTTTAAGTGTACAGGATCCATGTACACTAACGTATAAATTGAACGTTGGTGGTAAAATTGTATTTATCTACTTATTTTGTTTTCAACAAGTTTTGAAGAAGTGTGCTCGTGAAGAATCTAAAATTGAGCGTGGTATATTTATCTTCTTGAAAACACCTAAATTAGAGCGTATTTTACTGCGCACAATTATATAGTTTAACTTTTTCCGCGCTACTGTCAGATGTTTCAGCTAATTTTTATTTATCACGAAAAGGGGTATCACAAAACATTTTACAAAAATTTTACGAAAAATCATATTAACACTTTAAAATGTATTTGTTCAATTCGGAGTTACTTATATAGTTGTTAGCCTTTAAGTTAAGAATTTATTATTAATTGTAATTTAATAAAAATACGATAAAAGTCTAAAACACATTCCAGGAAAAATTTAATTTATCTGAAATATTTTTCGATTTTTTCTAAACCCAATATTTTTATGGCATCCCTTATTGACATTCCTTGGATTGATGGACTATTGTTTGAAGAGTTCAAACAATAAAATAAAATATACTGGTCTGACTATTTAAAGGTACAAGGGGACATTTTATGGACCCCAGTGGTTAATATAGCTAATATATAAATTTTTAATCTCTGTGTGTCTGTTTGTATGTCTGGTCATAACTCATTAACCCCTTGACTGATTTTGATAGGGGAACTCGGGAGAACCACGGGAATGTGTAGAGATTCTTAGTAGAGTTGGTCCACTTTTATAGGAAAAAATAGCTAAATCGTAATTTATGACCAAGTGCGGGTAAACGCCGCAAGCACCGTTTTTGTACTTTACTGTACAGGACATTACTGGAATGAATATTGTAATACATTATGCAGTACTTTATTGTAATTTTATGTGTTGTACTTTACCGTATTGTGATGTGATGTATAGTACTTTCCTGTATGGTAGTATTTGTATTTTCATGGATTGTACTGCTCTGTTAAGTAGTGCATTATATTGTAATGTACTTTATCGTACTGCAATGTATAGTTCTGAACTGTATTGTACTGCACTGTATTGTACTGCACTGTATTGTACTGCACTATATTGTACTGCAATGTATAGTATTGCAATGTATAGTACTGCACTGTATTGTACTGCACTATATAGTACTGCACTGTATTGCACTGCACTGTATTGTACTGCACTGTATTATAGTGCACTGTATTATAGTGCACTGTATCGTACTGCACTGTATGTACTTCACTGAATTGTACTACAATGTACAGTACTGACCTATATTGTACTGTACAATATTGTACTGCACTGTATTGTACTGCACTGTATTGTACTGCACAATATTGTACTACACTATATTGTACTACACTGTATAGTACTGCACTGTATTGCACTGCACTATATTGTACTTCACTGAATTGTACTTCAATGTATTGTACTACACTGTATTGAACTGCACTATATTGTATTGCACTGCACTGTATTGTACTGCATTGTATTGTACTGTGCTGCACTGTATTGTACTGCACTGTATAGTACTACACTGTATTGTACTACACAGTATTGTACTACACTGTATTGTACTACACGGTATTGTACTGCACTGTATAGTACTGCACAGCATAGTACTACACTGTATAGTTCTGCACTGCACTGTATAGTACTGCACTGTGTAGTACTCCACTGTATTGTACTGCACTGCATAGTACTACACTGTATAGTTCTTCAATGCACTGTATAATACTGCACTGCATAGTACTACACTGTATAGTTCTGCACTGGATAATACTGCACTGTGTAGTGCTACACTGTAAAGTACTGCACTGTATTGTACTGCACTGTATTGTACTGCACTGTATAGTACTACACTGTATAGTACTACACTGTATAGTACTGCACTGTAATGTACAGTATTTAACTACTTTGAATTGTAATTATCTTTTAAATTTTATTGAACTGTATTGTACTGTATTGAACTGTATTGTACTGTATGGACTTATTGCACTCCTATGTCTAAGCTCTAAAGTAAATATTTCCTTACATGGTGCTAGCTAATTATTTATACAAACCTTGGCAAAAATATAAACTTGTTCAGAAATGTTTTCTAGAAATGTTTAATTTCTTTTTATATTATTTTCTACCCCTAGTTTGGCCCTCTTCTTTTATTTGCTTCTTTTATTTGCAATTTTCAGCCATGTTGATTATTCCTAAAGTTATGTGCAGACCAAATAGGTATAGTACTGAATAGAGGTTGATATTTTTTATTCTATACTATGATATGAAAAGCTAAAAATATTTTTGTCCCTGTGAGGCATTTAGAGCCAGGTGGGTTGTGTTCTGGTTGACTCTGATAACGGACGGGTTGGGCCTGGATAGATACGTTAGAGAACTTGTTATGGAGTAGGTGTTTTCTATGTTGATTTGCAAGATAGTTTAAACATATTTTCTTATTTTTTCTCTTTTGATTTTTCTTTCTCATAAGTTGAATCTTTTTATATTTCTTGGGGGGGGGGGGAGAATGGATCCCATATTACAAATTTGCAAAATGAATGAAAAAAAAATATGATTTAATGACATATTATTGGCGACCTATGGAAGGAAGAAAAGTTTATTTAAATATAAAGAAATAATACCTCATAGCTCTCACCTGAAACCCCCCCCCCATGCCTCAAAAAACCACAAACACCATAAAACTAAATCATAATAAACCACAAAATATAATTTTAACTCCCTGTTTTTATGTAACTTTACTGTAAGAAAGAATTTTATTTGAGATTCTAGATTATGTTGCGTCTCAGATACCCTTGACAAGATCTTGAAACATTAGACTTTAAAAAATCTGATTCCATTATTTTTTATTGTTTTGTTTTTTATTCAAAGCTTTTCAATCTTAACATTTACGTGAGTACTTCAATTTCCATTAGGTAAGCCCTGACCCTCTTCTCTTATTCAGATTGTCACCTAACCCCTTGGTTTAAATATATATCTGCACCATAGTTTCAGTAGAAGTAAATATTTCATTTTACTGATAGCGCTGATTGAAGGATGTATAACTGTAATTGGATAATGAGATAGAAAGATAGATGTTACCGCCATACTATTTCTATTGGTTCAGAATAGACAACCAACACATAACTGAACCCTGATTGAATCAGGCGCTAATGGACTTGGCGTACAGGAGTGTAAGGGAGTAGAAAAACAAGAGATAATCAGTTAATCAGTTTCCAAAATTATAAACTTGATATCTAACTCATACATGATTATACAAAGCAATTACGGGTGTCATCTTTGCATGGATAGATACTTGAAATTACGTTTCCAAATTATAAAGTTGATATCTAATAAATACATGATTATACAAAGCAATTACGGGTCCCATCTTTGCATGGATAGATACTTGAAATTACGTTTCCAAATTATAAACTTGATATCTAACTCATACATGATTATACAAAGCAATTACGGGTGTCATGATACTTGAAATTACGTTTCCAAATTATAAACTTGATATCTAACTCATACATGATTATACAAAGCAATTACGGGTGTCATCTTTGCATGGATAGACTTGAAATTACGTTTCCAAATTATGAAGTTGATATCTAATAAATACTTGATTATACAAAGCAATTACGGGTCCCATCTTTGCATGGATAGATACTTGAAATTACGCTTCCAAATTTTAAACTTGATATCTAATAAATCCTTAATTAGATAAAGTGAATCAATCATTGCCATCTTGGATGGATGGTCCCAGTTCATTAACATATCATTATTTTTAAGATGCCTTTAAATCAATGAAGCATTCCAGCATTTAAAGAGTGATATATCTATATCCTCTTTTTATACTCTAATTGGGTAAAGAGATAGATAGAATTAAAGATAGATGTAACCGCCATACAATTTCTATTGGTTCAGAATGACTGAACCCTGATTGGATCAGGCGCTAATCGACTCAACATACAGGTGTCCGAGTGTAAGGTTTAATGGGTAACTGTTGTGATTTGGGACTTTCTTTTAAAAATGGAACACTTGAAATTCGTTCACACCCTCTAATGAATAAAAAGTTTATATATATTCAGAATACAAAACTAAAAGTTAATTCATGCAAACCAAGCCCAAGTTTTAGAAGATGAAGACATTAACGCCAGTGCTCAGTGAATTTGAAAACAATTTGCGAATATTTCTTGATCCTCTTATTTTAGGATTTCGCATGGATTCGCAAGTGCAAAATGAAGCAAATGGCTTATTCAGATAGCTTTACATTGCACAATTGTTATCATTTGAACATTTAATTGCATAACTTGAGTTTAACAATCATCTTTCAGTTCTATAGTTTTCAGGGTCCCACTGTACACTCTAGTATCCCGAGTACATTAGCGGCCTGATCCATAGTTTTCAGGGTCCCACTGTACACTCTAGTATCCCGAGTACATTAGCGGCCTGATCCATAGTTTTCAGGGTCCCACTGTACACTCTAGTATCCCGAGTACATTAGCGGCCTGATCCATAGTTTTCAGGGTCTAACTGTACACTCTAGTATCCCGAGAGCATTAGCGCCTGATCCATAGTTTTCAGGGTCCCACTGTACACTCTAGTATCCAGAGTACATTAGCGGCCTGATCCATAGTTTTCAGGGTCCCACTGTAGACTCTAGTATCCCGAGTACATTAGCGGCCTGATCCAATCAGGGTTCAGTCATGTGCTTGTTGTCTATTCTGAACCAATAGCAATTGCATGGCGATTACATTTATCTTTCTATCTAACTCATTATCCAATTAGAGATAAATCCTTATATCGGTGCTAACAGTAAATGGAAATATTTACTTCTACTGAATCTATAGTACATGTATCGAAGCAAATAAAATATCAAGTATGATCAAAATTAGCTCATATAGAAATATGTTTAAACATAATTATAAAATAAATTTGATAAACTACTTATTTTATATGTTAAGTGATTCCATTAGTATGAAGCAAAAAAAGCATGTGTTTAATTTTCTTTTTTCCATCTGTATATCTGTATATCTGTATATCTGTATATCTGTATATCTATATATCTGTATATCAATATATCTGTATATCTGTATATCTGTATATCTGTATATCTGTATATCTGCATATCTGTATATCTGTATATCTGTATATCTGTATATCTGTAAATCCGTATATCTGTATATCTGTATATCTGTATATCCGTATATATGTATATCTGTATATCTGCATATCTGTATATCTGTATATCTGTATATCTGTATATCTGTATACCTGTATATCTGTATATATGTATATCTGTATATATGTACATCTGTATATCTGTATATCTGTATATCTGTATATCTGTATATCTGTATAATCGTATTACTATATATCTATATGTATATAGAATTTAATAGACAGGTGTATAGTATTTATACATATAGTGATATATTTAGATAAATAGGTAGAAAGATAAATAGTTAGATATGGATAGATAGATAGGTAGAAAGATAAATAGTTAGATATGGATAGTTAGATAGATAGATAGATAGATAAATAGTTAGATATAGATAGATAGATAGATAGATAGATAGAATGAAATTATATGATGTTTAAATTGAAGTAGTTGTTTTCAAACAGGCAAAAAGTAAACAAACAAACAAAGAATAACAATCCTTTTAAGATAAATCAAAAGACTTTAAAAAGAAGGGATAGTACTAGATGAATGTTGTTACATATTTTTACAGTTTTATGAAAAATTTTATTTCTAAAAGCATATTTCTTAATTTTCCCTAGAAAGCAAAAAGTCATTAAAATTATATCCCTGTTTTTACAAGATATATTGTAATTTATGATTTTATATTAAACTAGCTTGGCAACCCAGTGCTGTCAAGCTTACTAAAATAGTTACTCCCGCCGTTTACCTGCACTTGAACGATTTTACCGGGAAACTAAATTTTCGCTATAAAAGTCAACCCACTCCGCTTAAAATCCTAAAACCAAGATAAGAACATTACCGTGGATCTCACGAGTTCCCAAATCAAAATTTGAGGCAAATCGGTCCAGGGGTTCCTGAGTTATGACTGGACAAACAAACAGACTTACAGACAGGCAGAAAACAGAGATTATTTATATATTTATAATAGATTCTAGAATTAAATATCAACATAAAAACTGCAAGTTTGCAGCTTTTTGTATCTAGTTTTTGACATTTTTGCTTAGGTCTTAATTTCTATCTTTCTATCTATCTAATCTATAAATCTATCAATCTATCTATCTATATATCTATATGTAAGATTATCAATGCTAGATATTATCTAAGTTACTTGCTGTATTTGAATCACAAGTATAATCAACTACATTCACTTTGTTAACCACCATGCTGCCTTCCTCCCTCCCTCACTCACTCTGACCAACCCTCTACGGGGATATAACTACCCTAACTACCCCAACTACCGTCTGTTTTTTAAAGAGTCCCCACCCCATTGATGCTGAATCTGAATGGCAACTACCCTTACTACCCCAACTACCATCTGTTTTTAGAGAGACCCCACCTCCACCCTTGAAGCTGAATCTGAATGGCAACAACCCTAACTACCCCAAAAATCAACAAATTGCCTGTTTTAAATTTTACTATTAAACAAAAGGTTTTTACCAGTACACTCCGTAAACTTATAGAATAAGTTGTATCGGGCTATCGAAAAAATGGATATAAATGTACATATTAATATCCAAGCTGGGCTAACCTTTGCGGTCCTAGTTTGGACTGTACCACCAATTTAGAATTATTACAAATTTTGACAAATCAATTAAAAAATCATTTTCAATGAAATGATCATTTTACATAGACTCTATGCCTTTCACTTTACAAACGATGATTTTCCGGTATAACTATAAATCAAATGATGTTTTTTATTCACCTAATATATTTTATAAAGTTTATTTAACTTTGAACTCCCTTTCAGGCTGAAAGGGACTGACAAAATTCATACCGAAGGATTTTCTAAATTCCACTCTAATATATATTCTATTCTCTTTGATTATTTAATTTTTACTGATATTTTATATATTCGTTTGTATTCGAAAAATCCCCATGGACAACGAGGGGGTGGGGGGAATTCTACCAATCCTTTCGCCGAAAATTTAACATTTTTCGCATTTCGTTAGCTCGCGAAAAATGGGAAAAATTTATTTTATTCGCGAAATTTTGCTTTAATCTGTTCTGTGAAAAAATGTAAATCAGGGGTCGAGGGTTAGAACAATTTTGAGTTTACAGCATAATCCTCTTTTAAAAGTTAAAAAAGGCTCGGCCGCTTCAATACTTATCTAAATCCCTCCAGTGGAATTATGAACCCCAGGAAGGATATCTAAATCCCTCCAGTGGAATTATAAACCCTCAGGAAGGATATCTGAATCCCTCCAGTAGATTTATAAACACATAGGAAGGATATCTGAATCCCTCCAGTGGAATTATAAACCCCCTGGAAAGATATCTGAATCCCTCCAGTGGAATTACAAAGGCCTAGGAAGGATATCTGAATCCCTCCAGTGGAATTATTACCCCCCTGGAAAGATATCTGAATCCCTCCGGTGGAATTATAAACCCCAGGAAGGATATTTGAATCCTTCCAGTGGAACTATAAAACTCCTCATTTCTTTTTCATAACAAACTTATTCATATTCAACTTATAAGAATACATTAAAAGCATATGTTAAGTGGATAATCCACTATTTTTTAAAGGTTGGAAGAGATAAAATAGAAATAGAAATCGGGTTTCACTGTATTGATATATTGTTATTGATTTTGATATTGAGTTTAGCTCCGGGTTCGTATGATAATTGAGGGGGTTACATCAATGGAACTATTAAATCTGAGTTTAGCTATGGGTTTGTATGAGAACTGAGGGGGTTGCATCAATGGAACTATCTCTATTCCGAGCTATTGAGCTCACACCGTTTACAATTTGGGATGTTAACGTTTTCATTTTTTTGAAAAACGATCGTTTTTTTCGTTTTCCTATCGTTTTTTATTTCGTTTTCCGATAGTTTTAAAAACTATCGTTTTTTAAAGTTTTTAAAACGATTGCCTTTAAAATGATCGGAAAACGAAACAAAAAACGATAGGAAAACGATCGTTTAATGATCGTTTTCAAAAACGATTAACAATCCTATTTACAATATATGACAACGAATGTATAAAAAACAAATTCCTGGCGTAGCTTTCTTGAATATGAAATATCAATATGAACATTCTATGACACGTCTCAAAGCCCAGGAGGATCTTGTATTCTATACAATAAAACAAGATATTCATATACATGTTCCCTGTAGCCGGCCAAATGGTTGGCCCGAATGGACACTCATGAGTCATGTCATGACTAGCCTGCGGGTGACATAGGCTAATAAAAATCGATTTTTCTTTTTCCAAAGGCCATGCCAGGCCCTTGAGAGATATTTCAAACTAATTAACAGGTTAACTAATATCATATGCACAAATTAAGGGTTATGAGATTAACGTAGTGTTATATTGCATATTAACGATCACATATCACTATAAGTTTGCGGACTAGAAAATACTGTATTAACTAACCTTAGAATTTGTTATGATTTTTTAAACTGTAAAAAGGAAACCGATTAACAATTAGGGATTTTTAAAGTTTTTGTAAAAAACGGAAATGGATAAAAAATTTGAAGAAACCGCTCAAAATTTTAGGAACTGATCAAAATAAGAGTTACAAAAAAACGGAAACGGTTAAAAATATGCGAAAACGGATCAAAAATTTCTGGTAACTAATCAACAAATAGGGTGTATTAAAGTTTTTGTAAAAATCGGAAACGGATCAAAATTATTCTGAGTCAGATAGAAAATATTGGGAAATCCCTCGAAAATATTTCATTAAAATAAAGCAAAAATGGATATAAACTTTTGGTAAACTGAACAAAAAAAAAGAGGAAACTCCTCAAAATCTAATTTTTGCGGGAAAAATTCTAGGAAATGCAGAAAGTTTTCCGCTTTTTTTTGATCCGTGTTGAGGCGTTTCAATATTCGGCTTCCATTACACAAGTAGTTATAGTTTAAACATTACATATTCCCAATCGATAATTAATTTTATTTTGAAAGTTATAATAGAATAGTTTTCCAGTCAAACATCGAATTCAGCAAGAACAAGAACATTATATTTTTCCACAAGATCAAGAACAAGAACAAGAGCAAGAACAAGAACAAGAAACAAGAACATGATTTTCCTTACAAAGAACAAGAGAAAGAGCATGATAGTCATTCTGGTTGTATTCTTACTTTCACAGGAAACAAAGTTTTTGCCAGAAAACAATATTAAGAAAGAAAACTAAAAAGGATGATACTTTTGTTCACAATTTTTAATTAACAGAATCCCAAACATCAAGATTGATTCAAAGAGTATCATGTCATTATTAAAGTCTTATTCTTTGTGGGTAACCCTGTACAGAAAACTCCTGACGTCATGAAATATAGAAATTTAATCAGTTTCTCTAATTCTCAGTCAAATTAGAATCAATGGAAATTTACCCCCCCCCCCCCAAGGGCTTAGCCCGTTGAATCCCTAAGGGGTTTGAAATTCTATTGATACAATTTTTCTGAGAGTATACAAAATTCCTTTACAGAAAGCGCTGGTTTTAACATATATAAGTTTTAAGATTGGCTGGATTTTACAGAGCGTCCCATATCATAATAGATTATCTCCAATCTTTAACGCCAAAATACGCACATAATACTCGAAAAATCTAGAATTTTCTGCAAGTAAAAATTTCTATTACCTTATTAAATTTTTCACAATGATTCATTCTTCTTAAATTTTCTAATTTGTTCCTCAAATCGTTATTTAGACCCATTGACACGGTCTAATTTGATGTGGGACACCCTGTAGGAAAATTGTTGCATCTAAAAAAATGGCTGTTTAAAAAGAAATGATATTTTTTCATAAATAATTTAAACTGGTGGGAAAAAAACAAATAAAATCCAAAGAACCTGTCAAATCTTTCGTTGGGATGTTTAGAAAGATGAAAATTTCCCTGTATGATAATTGAAGGACTGCAGTATGGTTTTGGTGAATTATATTGACGTACTAAGCCTAGGGGTGTCAGAAATGATTTTTTTGCATTTTTTTGAAAACGTCCAATAAACCTAAAAAAGATTAACTTTTGATAAAACTTTTTGTTCTGGATGATTACAAATATCTATCTAAAACTTTCTTAAACAAATATTTATTAATACTTATTTTGACTCAAACTCTTAACTAAATGAATATAGAAAAAATATGCCGGTTTAAGAAAGTTTTAGATAGATATTTGCAACCATCCAGAAAAAAAAGTTTTATCAAAAATTAAACTTTAAAAGTTTTAAAGAAGTTTTTTAAAAAATGCAAAAAAAAAATCATTTCTGACACCCCTAGGCGTTGTACGCCAATATAATTCACCAAAACCATACTGCAGTCCTTCAATTATCATACAGGGAAATTTTCATCTTTCTAAACATCCCAACGAAAGATTTGACAGGTTCTTTCATAAGTGTTTGAAACTTGTTGCAGAGTGAAGGAAGCAATATTCAATCAACTTTTATTTCTAAAGAAATAAGTTCCGACCTTTGGAAGAGTAAGATTATCAAAACTTATCAACCTTGCCACTCGGAGATACAGGTACTTACTCGGAGATACAGGTACTTACTTGGATATTGCAGGTTCATACTCGCAGATACATGTACTTACTTATATAGGTACTTACTCGCAGATACAGGTACTTACTCGCAGATACAGGTACTTACTTGCAGATACATGTACTTACTCGTAGATACAGGTACTTACTCGGAGATAGAGATACTTACTCGCAGATACAGGTACTTACTTGCAGATACAAGAACTAACTTGGAAATACATGTACTTACTTGTAGATACAGGTACTTACTCGGAGATAGAGATACTTACTCGCAGATACAAGTACTTACTTGCAGATACAAGAACTAACTTGGAAATACATGTACTTACTCGCAGATACAGCTAATTACTTGGATATTGCAGGTTCTTACTCGGAGATACATATACTAACTCGCAGATACAGGTACTTACTCGTAGATACAGGTACTTACTTGTAGATACAGGTACTAACTCGCCGATACAGCTAATTACTTGGATATTGGAGGTTCTTACTCGCAGATACATGTACTTTCTCAGATATACAGGTACTTACTCGTAGATACAGCTAATTACTTGGATATTGGAGGTTCTTACTCGCAGATACATGTACTTTCTTGTAGATATAGGTACTTACTCGCAGATACAGCTAATTACTTGGATATTGCAGGTTCTTACTCGCAGATACAAGTACTTTCTCAGAGAAACAGGTACTTGCTCGGAGATACAGGTACTTACTTGGAGATACAAGTACTTACTCGGAGATACAGGTACTTACTTGGAGATACAAGTACTTACTCGGAGATACAGGTTCTTACTTGGAGATACATGTACTTATTTTGAGATAGAGGTACTTACTCAGAGATAAAGGTACTTACTTGTAGAACAGGTTCCATACTTGAAGATGAAGGTTATACTTACTTGCAGATACAGGACATTGAATAGCTTGCAGGGGAGAATGAAGAGTTTTGCGAAAAATTTGTTTAACATTAAAGAAATTGATAAACATTTTTTTCCTTTCCTTCTTTTTAAGCTGAAGCCAAAATAAACCTTTTCTTGAGAAATGAGAGATCTAAAGATCTAAATCGCACTTAATTGCGTTCAACCAAAAGTTTCCGCTAAGGATAAGAACTGTCTCATAAAAGTTTTCATCTTTTGATTGATGATATTCTATATTTAGTGCGCTGGTCTTGTGAAGTCTTCAATAGACATGTCTGCTTGCTTCTACAAGTAAATTATCTTATTTTTTTTTGGGGGGGGGGGGAGGGGGTTTGCATTCTTTTTCACAGTAATTTTAAAAAGGATTTGTACAATATATTCCTTTTCCTGCAGTTTTCCTAGGGATTATTTCATTTTGTCTAAACTAAAAGAAAATATCTGGCCGCTAGATGGCTCTGTACCAGGAGGGAAAGCAGCCACATAATCTGAACTGCTAGTTTTCCCGGCGTTCATCAGCCATAATATCTTAATGGTTTCCAATTTTATTTTTGATCAATTTGGACCTTTTTAGGCATTTCATAACCTTTTCTGAAGCTGTAAATCATTGAAACTTTTGAAAATAAACGACTACATCTTTTAAAACTGATTTTCAAAAACAATTACTTGTTAGATAATACACAGAGCTTGGTGTGAAAAGTTTACTGGATAATCGTCCCATAAACTTGTTTCAGCTGGTCACAACTCACAACTAAATCACTCCATATACAATTGTACAGTGTTAGTACAACTAAATCACTCTGTATGCAAGTGTACATTGTACAGTGTTAGTTACGTAAACATATTGTGATGTACAAAACCAACCACTCTATTAATTAATTATTAGGGAGGTCGGTTGTGTACATCTGCGGTAAGTTTTATACCTCTTCGTTTCCTTTTTCTATGCCCGTAAGACTTTTACAAATCCAAACTGATCCTTTAATATTTGAAACCATTATATTAACCTTCTTTGTTAAAACTAACCCAGTGCTGAGGAAGGTATCTGTGAGCTGGCAAATATATTTGATGAGGAAATAGTTGATCAGCCCAATCCAGGTATACCATATAAGTAGATTTAAGAGATTGTAATCGTAATTTCAAATGACCCTGCATTCAAAAAAGACAATGTTCAATCTACTATGGTGCCTTTGAGACCATTTACTGATCAATAATGGTCAAGATATTCTTGTTTTTTGACTCAAAAAATACTTAATTCTGATAATTGCTTCACTTTTGCTAAAAAAACAGTTCGCAAATGTTTAATGATTGAATAGAGGCGCAATCTGGGTGTTTTGTAACGGGCAGGGCGGGGGTAGAAACAGTATTTTTTTCTTTTTAAAAATTTTCACCACTAATTTCTATTCTTATCTCAAAAATCTTTGTTTTATAATCTCTAGATAAAACACTCTTCCCCCCCCCCTCTCTTAGAAGCCAGGAAAGATATAATGATTATATTGACATGATTAAAAAATTAACCTAATTATATATTTCAGTTAAGGTGAAATTCCGTGTGTATGTACAGGTAAATAATAATATAAAAAGGATTCCCTAATTCAAGGGAGTGTTCATGAAAAATTTCACTAGAAGGGGGTCAATCATTTGGGTAGCTGCTCCGGTTCGCGTACATAGTCTGTAATTGTAGTGTACAGTCGGGACTTAAAATGAACCAGAATTAGGGTTTCCATCAAGTGTTTATATTTTTGCGAACTTTTGCGCAATTTTTGCCCATGAACCGCAGTGAGTTTTGCGCAATTTGCGAAAAGACTCAAATATTTTTTTTACGAATTTTTGTACATGAAACGAAAAGAGTTTTGTGCAATTTGCGCAAAACCAGAAGTTTTACGCTAAACGTAACTTTTTAAGCAAATTAACGAAAATTAAAATTTTAAGCACAGAATTAAAAAACTAAAGATGTATTCAATGTTACATACAAAATACTACCAAGATTAATCAAATAGAAATTGAGATATTCCACTTAACTCCTATTAAATAAATTTCAAGTTACCCTCCATGCAAAGATGAATGCTCAATTCACAAGGGTACCCTTAAAAACTGCCTGATTAAGAATGAATTATAATCTTAAATTTTATTAATTTCCGAAATCTTTTAATCCTTTATAAAGTATGATAGAAAGTAACCAAAACCTGAAGAATCAACAGTAGTTGTAATCGACCTGTATGGGAGCAAGTGAAATATATTTACCCCTGTTTTTTATATGGCGAAGGCCCAGATGTAAAAATGCGATTATTGTTTGGAGAGTATGTAAGATATCTAGATGCCATATACTTCAATGATAACTCAACTCAAAGTCTAATTAGAAGCTATCTAACTCTGTCTCTAGCCAAAACTCAAGGCTCTCTTTCTTCAGCCAATACTCAAGGCTCTATACACGTCCGTATTAATCAACGAATCCTATTGAACTAATTTATTTAAATTAAACTGACCGTACTGGCCAATACGGGTCAACATGAAATATGATAAGATAGATAAACGAATATAGATAAGTCAGAAATTACTAGCATGGTTACATAATTCATTACAAATACCACGGGCAGAAGTGATGAGAGTATAGTCTACGAAGCTGACTATCTCTCATTAAATTTGTCACCAACATCATCATCCAGCATAACCTATAATGCCGTGTCAATCTGTGAAGACGCATCTAACGTTCGGTCCTCTCGCCTCAGCATGTTGAAGTAGGTCATCTTCCATTGATATAGCATTTTTTGATGTACTGAAACTAGTCTGGTATATCTGATATTGGAAACATAGCACTCCCTTATACTACGGACTCCAATTGGTTTCTTGTTGTTCTGAGGAGGTGATTCGCTCCAATCTTTAACACCCTCCGTCACTGTGAGGGAGAGGAACATAAATAGTAGCATTACTTCTATACGAAACAGAGAGCTACCCCATGCCCTGTTGCACCTCCTTGTGTCCCTTGTTGACTGACCAGTAGCTGGAGAGATAAGATTGCTCTGCACCGCAGAAGTACTTTCCAATCCTGGCTGCACCGGTAGTGTTGCGATCCTTCCCGCCTGTCGATCACCGCTCCGAGATGACTGAATACTCCATGATTTGCTGTGCAACTGACTAACAAGGTATGTTGTATGATTTGACCCCCCCCCCTGACGACCCTGACTCCCCTTGCTCCGAAAGAACTACCCTAGATTGTAGTTCGGATGTTCGCATTTTTTAAGGTCAGATGTACGCATTTGTAGGTCGGATGATCATCAATGGTAGATCAGATTTACAATTTTGCATGGACCTATACATCCAACCAACAATCTAGGCAGGGCGGATCAAATGAAAGTTTATTTGATTAAGGTGCAACTGACCTATAGTTTAACAACCCTAAAGCAGTTAAGCAGCTGGAAGTGTAATATAGAGGATGTGTAGAAAGTGGATGGCGTATTTTCGACCTAGAGAAATCCACTATAATATCACATCCGGTATTTGGTTTTACAGCTGCTATATGGACTTGTTGCCGCAGCGCCCACAACCCAATAGCCTGTCCTAGCCGCGGCGCTGGCCCCCTAGCCTGTCTATAGCTGTGGCGCTCAGCCCCCTAGCCAATCCTAGCCACAGTGCTCAGCCAGAAATAGTCTTACATAAAATAACCCGCAATTTTAACACACAAAAAAACAGCAGTCATTAAATAAGCGAATTGGATCTATAGATTCGGCTATGAACTTTACCTTGTTTCTCAGTTTTTGTTGACCAAACAAATCATAAAAACAAATTGAAAATTTAGTTCAAGTCAATACAGATGCTATGAAACCCCAATAGATGTCGAAAATTGTGTTAAAAATGCATTAACTTAAAATCTCAGAAAACAAAATTTATTGGTGATAACCATTTGAGGAGCGCGCTTGCCGCAAAACACATTTGGGTGGCAGTGATTACCAGTTGAGGAGTTCTGGTCTCCCCCCCTCCTGTGGTGCTCCCAGGGCCTCAGCATTAATGAATAAGATGCACATTGCGCGCCCATGAGATCGGAACTCATCTTGACTATCATTGGTCAAATATATGTTGTGCAGGTTAAAGGAGGGAGGGAGTCCAGAGTTCCTCAAATAGTAATCACCGCCACTCAAATCTGTTTCGCGGCAAGCGCGCTCCTCAATTTGTAATCTCCACCACCTCAAATAGTAATCACCGTAAAATTTTGTTTTATGTGATTTGAATTTAATGCACTTTTAACGCAATTTTCGGCATCTATCCGGGTTTTATGGCATCTGTATTGACTTAAACTAAATTTTCAAATTATTTTCAGATTTGTTTGGTCAACAAAAACTGAGAATCAAGGCACAGTTCATTTTAGCCGAATCTTAGATCCAATAGGCCACTTTAATGACTGCATTTCATGATTGGCGTCAAGATACAAAAAAGGTCGGGCTGCCTGTTTACTAAAAATTATCTCATCGCGCACAAAGTAATATCCATCTCCATTTAAAGGATATTTCAAAAAACCTTTACAGTGTTTAGATTTTTGTATTAGCCAACTCGAGTTCAACATCTACAACAAAACTAATTATATCCATAGAAAGAACATAAAATTTACAAAAAATAATCTCATCCCACCCAAAGTAATATCCATCTCCATTTAAAAGATATTTTCAAAAAACCTTTACAGTTTTTAGATTTTTGTATTCGCCTACTTGAGTTCAACATCTACAACAAAACTAATTATATGCATTGAAAGAACATAAAATTTTGAAAAATTAGTCTCATCACACCCACTACTGAAAATGAAGTATTTAGTCCACTAATAATGGGTTAAAGTTTCCTCTCTATATAAGGAGTTTAAAACAACATTCAGAGGAAAATGACGAAAACATTCTTAAAGCGAAACTTGAAACTAAAAAACGTAATATATTTCTAGCACTTAGTGTGGCATATTTATTGATTTATTTTCGAAACTAATGAGCAAAAAAGAAAGCTTTAACAATATTGTACACCATAGGGCCATTAAAATGGGTCAATATGGTCTTATTTATAAGAAATAAGCGATTTAATTTTATGCTTTTTTGGGGTGATTACTATTTCAGGTGGTGGAGATTACCAATTGAGGAGCGCGCTTGCCGCAAAACAGATTTGGGTGGCGGTGATTACTATTTGAGGAACTCTGGACTCCCTCCCTCGTTAAAGTGACCAATAGCAAGACAATTCAAACCCAGATTTGTCCAGAATTCAGATACAGGGTGTCCCACGAAACATGACAATAGGAAGACGACTTGAAAGTCGTCTTAGGTATTTGAATTTATTTGTGACATTTAGTCTTCTATCTACTTTAACATGTATGAATCTTGAAACAATTATAACATAATTCTCCTAGCCCTGGCATTTCCAAAAAGTGGTCTGCGTTTTTTGTGCTTTCAATATTACCTGAGATATAAAGAGTTTGGTTCAGATTTCAATTTTGTTAAATAAAAGCAAAATTGTCGAAATCTGAACGAAATTCTTCATATCTCGGGCAATATTGAAAGCACAAAAAAGGCAGACCACATTTTGGAAATGGCAGGACAAGGGAAATTTTGTGATTATTATCTCTAGAAATTTACTTCTAAAATTAGGTTGACAAATAAACGCAGCAAATTATATCAAAAATCAAGACGACATTCAAGTCGTCCTGCATACTGTCATGTTTCGTGGGACACCCTGTACGTACACTGTACAGGATGTGGAAACATTTAAAAGTTCTATTATAAAAGTCAAAATAGATTAAATTCTATGGAATTGGACAAAGTTTTAACAGGGGCATACAAGAGCATTTTTTGAAAAAATATTGATACCTTTATTAACTATGTAAACTATTTGATCATATACACACTTCCATATTGCAATCACATTATTTATTTAATTTTCTTAAAGGGGGGGGGCACGAAATCAGTCAATCCCTCTTAAAACTGTGGTGTAAGCTTCAAGGGATGTAAAATATAGATGTAAACGTTTCTAAAAAAATATCTATATTTTCATAGGATTTACATATTGTATACAATGAATTAAAATGAATTATGATATCAAATTTATATTTACACTGAAGGGAACAGTATTGATTTTCAAATGGGAAACATGGATATTTAATGACACTTTAACTTAATCAGACAAAGCTTTGAAGGGTATTTTTGTAAATCAGAATATATTTTATTTCTTTTCTTAATCTTTTAGTTTGGGTGAGTAATATGCCATGTAAAATAGAATATAGATTGCCGGAGGAAGGGAAATGCAAGCAGATGTAATATTAAAAGAGCCCCCCCCCCATGAGCGCCCCACCTCAGAGGGGGCACGCATAGGGGGGAGGGCTGGGGGCTCTCCCCCCCCCCCCTCGTAAGCCTCTGAGTTTGAATTAAAATCAGTAAGTGCATCAGTCAGTGGGAAGGTTGTTTTGGTTTTAAAACTATTTAATCAAAAGTTTTAATAAAGTTTTTAAAATCGATAACATTGAACATATTTTAAAAATTGCTAGTCCGGCCGAAGTATACAGGCTAAAAACCTTTCAATTCCAAAAAATACACTTTATGATTATAACGAAAATGCGGAAATGCGCAAAACTCGAGTTGTGAAAAATCTTTGCATGGAGGGTTACTTAAGAAACTAAAATTACAGTCCCTTTAACAGTTAAAATAACATATAATAATAATATCTTGACTATGATTAGGAGAACCAGGAGCAAGTAACTAAGCCTTGCCCATCCACCCATCCATACCTATTCCTGGATGAGAAGGCATGCTGCGAGGAAAGGATTTATAGATTTTACGACCTTTTGACCATAATTCTGACGATTCTCCCAATAAAGGGACATTAAGTTGATTTATATTCTTAGAACAATTAAGTAAAATAATGATCGGCTCTGCGGAATTCTCTCGAACAATTTTGCCAACAAACCTCCCTGTACTCTGGATGTTTAGTAAGCAAAATTGGTCTTGGGAACCCTTGGCAAAGTAAAATTACCCAAACTTCCCTGTAAATTAGTTGTAAATAATTAAAAAGGATCCGGATCCAATATTTGAAAGAAAGGATCCTGGATCCCCATTAAAATAGATTTATTACGAAGTTAAACACAGTCCCTTTAAACACACACATTAATACACGATTCTTTAATTTGCAGAAGTGCAGGCAATTTCAACAAAAATCAATAAAATAATAAAATCTGAGTATATATATTAGTAAATATGTATGTAAAACATATCTATGTTATAATGTTAGAATTTAGCTTACCAAACGGCTGGACAGAATTGGCTGGAAGGGAACCCAAGGGTACCCTGGGGGTTTCATAGGATAAACAAATTCGAAATTTTTTTTTCAAAATCTATTTTTTTTTTATCAAATTTTTTTAAATGTGATTTTTTTTTAAAAACTTCACAAGCAGCGCCGGGCACTTGATCTGCACTAGTTAAACTATAAACTGCTTGGTGCAGAGGAATCTAGAAGCAGGGTTTATGAACAAGACCACAGGAACTAGAGGACTACTTCTTAATAACAGCAAAACTTGCGGGTCATTTTTTTATTGTTTTATACTCACTTTTCATCCTAAATCAGAAATTATGACGAGAATATTTTTCTAGTTAAAGATTGTATCCCTGTTATCTTATGTGGACACCTAATGACCATACTCTGTTAGTTAATTGTTAGCTAGAAATATACAGATATATATCCATTGTCAATATCAGAAAATTGTATCCCTGTTATCTTATGTGGACACCTAATGACCATACTCTGTTAGTTAATTGTTAGCTTGAAATATACAGATATATCCATTGTCAATATCAGAAAATTGTATCCCTGTTATCTTATGTGGACACCTAATGACCTGACTCTGTACTTATTAGTTAATTGTTAGCTAGAAATATACAGATATATCCATTGTCAATATCAGAAAAAGGGTTACAGGGTCCTGTTGTGAATGGAACAAAGTCTGGTCACTTGAGATTATGTCTACAGTCCCTTTAAATATACATTATGATACATTATTAGATCAACACAACAATTAACAGGCATGTCATGACAGACTTACATTTCAGATTTACTTTTAAATATTGTCCAGCCGGTTGGATTTGTACCTCTAGTTCAACCTTACCTAACCAGCTGCAGGTTAGTTTATCCTAACAATATGTTAGATATTTAGTTCATCCTAACAATGTGTTAAATATCTAGCTCATCCTAACAATATTTTAGATATTTACCTCATCCTAACAATATGTTAAATATTTAGCTCATCCTAACAATATGTTAAATATTTAGCTCATCCTAACAATATATTTCTAATATTTAGCTCATCCTAACAATATGTTAAATATTTAGCTCATCCTAACAATATATTTTTAATATTTAGCTCATCCTAACAATATATTAAATATTTAGCTCATCCTAACAATATTTTAAATATTTAGCTCATCCTAACAATATGCTAAATATTTAGCTCATCCTAACAATATGTTAGATATTTAGCTCATCCTAACAATATATTAAATATTTAGCTCATCCTAACAACATATCAGATATTTAGCTCAGATCCTAACAATATGTTAAATATTTAGCTCAGCCTAACAATATATTAAAAATTTAGCTTATCCTAACAGTATGTTAACCCTATCTCTGCTGGGGTACTTGAAAACCAGGATATGCTGGGGGGGGGGTCAATTTGACCCCCCCCCCTCTAAATCCCATGTTTGTTGTCCAAATATGACAAATGATACATCATTGGAAAGCTCTTGTGCTCTACTTTTAGAATCTGCAAAAAAAATTGCAAATTTGCAAAAATTGAATTTTTTATTGCAAAATCCAGTTATATAGTAAAAATGTTTGCAAAAAAATATTGTCCAAAAAATGAAAATTATACATTTTTGAAAAGCCCTTGACCATGCCATTTCAAATATGAAAAAATTTTTGCAAAATTTTAAATAGCCTGATTTTTAATCAAGAAAAACTAAAAATGTGCAAATTTCCTTCGACAGGTTGTTTGCAAAAAATTTGCAATTTTTTTTCGCAAAACTTGTGCAATTCGTTTCCTTATGTCAAAGGCTTTCCAAAAAGCTAAATTTTATCAAAATCTGACAAGTGTAAGTGGGTCAAAACAAAGATTTAGTTTGTTACTGTGCGCCTGAGGACTCAGACAGTTAGTATTAAAGCCCGGTTTTAGGCCTAAAGGGAAGGCTTTGGACATGTAGGAAAAGTCAGAAAATTTCAACAGCCTCAAACGAATACTTTTTGAGTTAAGTAAAAAAACTACGGGGGGGGGGGGGGTCAATTTGACCCCCAGCAGGAATAGGGTTTGATATTTAGCTCATTCTAACAATATATTAAATATTTAGCTCATCTTAACAATATGTTAAATATTTATCTCATCCTAACAATACATTAAATATTTAGCTCATCCTAACAATATGCTATAAATACTCAGCTCATCCTAACAATTTGTTAAATATATAGCTTATCCTAACAATATATTAAATATTTAGCTCATCCTAACAATATGTTAAATATTTAGCTTATACTAACAATATGTTAAATATTTAGCTCATTCTAACAATATGTTAAATATTTAGCTCATCCTAACAATATATTAAATATTTAACTCATCCTAACAATATGTTAAATATTTAGCTCACCCTAACAATATGTTAAATATTTAGCTCATCCTTACAATATATTAAATATTATACTCATCCTAACAATATATTAAATATTTAGCTCATCCTAACAATATGCTAAATATTCAGCTCATCTTAATTCTAACTACTCTACACACACTGCTGAAAATGGACCATCAGGTTTCAAGTCAAAACTCCTAAACTTTTTCTTTGGATTATGTTTGTATGCAGGCTACTGAGTTATATTCTCAATTTTCAGAAAATGCCACCTAGGGAATTTTGAGCAAATCAATTTTTAAGAAATTTTGTAAATCAAGTGCATTCACAGGTCTAAAATAAAAAAAAAGACTTTTATCTGGTTCTTCTGGGTTTTTAGACGATATTTTTTTAACAGTATATGACATGGTGTCCAAATTTTTTTATTTTTCTTTAACAGTCATGAAACTTATTGCATTAGCAAAATATAAAACCCTAACTCAACTTCCTGACTGTCAAAATGCGGCCCAAAAAAGATTTTTTGATGAAATTTTTACTGATTTTGCTTGAAAAAGTGTTTTTTAGGCAGTGATTGGGCAATTATACAGTTAGATTTTTTTGCTGAAACATGTCTTATAACAGTTAAGGAAAATTTACAAAATTTGGGGACCCTGCCTTCAACGGTTCCAAAAATATCGCAAAAAAACACAGAATAATCTTGATTAATCTTTGAACCTACACTTACGATTGAGTTTAGACTTAAAAATGCACTTGATTTCTATAATTTCTATATATAATATACTACACTACACTATGATGCCGTTTTAACCTACAAATGTTGGGCCTAATACTGAGGGTTTACGCTAGGTCCCATTTCTAAAGATTTTTAATAGCCATTCACCCACTAAACGTCGTGGTTTTGTGCAAAAAATGCTATCGGCATGTAAAAAAACCTTTTTTGGCTAAAATTATGGGGAGGGGGAGGGGGGGGGGGGTCAGGACTGGGCAAAGTTACGTTAACAAAATGGAGGTTTTCGAAAATTAACGGAAAAGTCCATTAATGAACAATAAAAACCGTTAATTTTTAAAATGTTATCATTCAAAAGTGATAAAAGCCTTTTTTGAAAAAAAATAATAGTTGAAAATAAAAACGAAACGAATGGGTTTTTAAAAATACGGCAACTTTCGTTATTTTTTACAGCTTAAACTGCATGAAAATGATTTTAAGGTATTTTGATGTTCTTAATTGTCGTCTTTATCCCCCCCCCCCATTTATGTGATGGAACTTTTTAAAATTTCTTTTTTAATTTGGTGATGGCTTGTGCCATAGATTCAATTTAATGTTAATGTATTTTTTATGGAAATTTTGGCGTTTTGGCAAACCGTTAACACCGTTAATACTACAAACAACCGTTAACAGCTTGCTCTTAACGATTTTACAAACCGTTAATGAATTTTTAATTCAACAGCTTATGTCGTTAATTGCAAAAAACAAGAATATCCTTCCTTATAGTCGTTAAAAAAACTGACATTGTTAACTAAAAAATTGGAACGTGCCCAGCTCCAGGGGGTGCGGGTCATCCATAACGGTTTAATCTTCAAAATTAACTTTAAATGTACTTGGTCCCTTTTCTCAAGAATTTTCTTCTAAATCCGCAAGCAATTCTATTATTAAAATTGCGTAATTTATTCCAATCCAATAAAATCATTTAAAATTCTGTTATCTGAGCATATTTTAAACATTATAGACCTACTTTTGAAAACCGAATTATGGAGCAAAATGTTTCATCGATTTTTCTACATTTATTGGCATTTTACCTACAAAAAGCAATTTTTAGTATAAAACAACGATATTTTCTAGGCATTGTTAACATATTTAGATTCCAGGAGTGGGTATTGGTACCTCTGTAAAAACATTTGTGCTCATTGACGGACTGACTTTGGAAGTTTGCCAAAATAGATGTGAAATGAATGCTGATTGTCAGGTACGTATATGTGTTCTATTGTTTTCCTTAAAAATATGAGTGTTAGGTATTTTCTATATGACATTTTCCCAAGGGCAACTTCCCAAGTGGCAATTTCGAAGATGTGAAATTTCCGAAACGGAAACTAAGGTTACGTTAGGCCTTCTGAGGAGCCGCAGGCTGAAATGGGGCTGAGCACTGTGGCTGAGAAGGGCTAGGGGTCGAGTGCTTCAGCTAAAACAGGCAAGGGGTCCAAGCGCTGTGGCTGAGAAAGGCTGGGGGTCGAGTGCTTCAGCTAGAACAGGCAAGGGGTCCAAGCGCTGGAGCTAGGACAAACTTGGGAAGTTGCCGCTTGAAAATTGCACATTTGGGAAGTTGCTTATTGGGAAAATACCCTTGTAAAGTTGCCGCTTGGGAAAAGGCCTTTGGGAAAGAACCTAACATTAAAAAATACTAGGGCTGGGCATGGTTCTACTTGTTCTAGCCGTTTCTTTAACGGTTAGTTTTAACCATTAAAAACGAAATATTTCATGTAGTATTTAGTGCTAAAGGTAAGAACAGAATGTTCATTTCGTATTTTTTTTTTTTTTTTAATGTACCTTTAGTTATTGATTTCAATTTTATTAACGGCATTAACAAAATATATTCAAAATATATTGTTTACAATTAACGTTTAGAAATTGCGCAAATTGCAAACACATTTTCGCTAACAGTTTGTCAAATTGTTAACTGTTGTGACACTTTTGGATTAAAGTTGATACAATGTATGAATGAAAAATTAGACAAATATCTTTTTAAATATGTACTAAAAAACTTGGATATTACTTCCTTATTGCTTATTGCTTTGGCAACATTGAATACATTTCCTGTTTTCTTTATATTATTATTCTTCTAAAAATTTGCACAATCTTTCAACCAAGGTCTTCCGCCCAACTCTTTCAGCACAGACTATTTTTAGCACGTCTCTGCTCGCAGACTAGCTTTGTGATTATTTTTTGTTATAAAAACAATGTATTTGGCAAACTTATTTACACTGTGAATAACCCTTGTAACATTTAAAAGTGAAATATATTACTGACATAAAAAAGTAAATCTTTTTCTTTCGTCATGCATCTCTGACCCTTTAGTAAAAGTAAATTCTACATAAAGTCTGATCGCATTAACCTTGTTGCACCAGCTGCTAGTCCTATTGAGTGTCTGCTATATTTATCCAATGTCCGGACGATACAGTACAAACTTAGACCATTGAAAGGTTGACCCAGCTCGGAAATTCAAATGTACTACGGCTGCCCGTGTTGTTTATCAGAGTCTTGTGTTATAAAAGGTCTGTATTTCTTTTGAAGAGCTGGATTCAAATCCTGTTTATTCTTAAAAATTAGAAATATATAAATGTTCTCATAACTTCAAGCTTTTATATTTAAATTCTACATAAAGTCTGACCGCATTAACCTTGTTGCACCAGCTGCTAGTCCTATTGAATGCTTTATTTTCAAATGTCCGGGCGATACAGTACAAACTTAGACCATGGAAAGGTTGACCCGGCTCGGAAATTCAAATGTACTACGGCTGCCCGTGTTGTTTATCAGAGTTTTGTGTTATAAAAGGCCTGTATTTCTTTAAAAGAGTGGATTCAAATCCTGTTTATTCTCTAAATTAGAAATGTTCTCCTAACTTCAAGTTTTTATATTTAAATTCTATTTTCTGATTTCAAACAAGTTTTTAAAACACCCATTCGTTTCGGTTTCGTTTTCAACCACTCATTCTTTTCAAAAACAGCCAATCTGTTTCGTTAACCATTTGAAAACGTTTGTTAACGGACTCTTTCGTTGATTTTCAAAAACCTCCGTTTTTTTAAAGGAACTTTCCCCAGCCCTAGGTTTAATCCAAGATACAGATAAAGTAGTTGAGCCTTTGCCACAAACTCAAATTTTCTAATTCCTTTATTTATGGAACCAAATGCCGTAGACCTTAGATATTTCAAATTATGAATTCTGGTAGATCAAATAATCTAAGTTTGAAATATCAAAGGTTTGCAACATCAAGTTGCTAAGATATAAAGATTAGAAAATTTGAGTTTGTGACAAAGACTCAATTCCTTTATTTAATGTTTTGCAGGCTTGGGTTCACAACGAACAACTGAAATTATGCCATCTAAAGAAAGGAACTGATGCTGAGATGGTGATAGATAGAGAAGACCCCAAGTATGTATGCCACTATATAGATAGAGAAGACCCCAAGTATGTATGCCACTATATAGATAGAGAAGACCCCAAGTATGTATGCCACTATATAGATAATGAAGACCCCAAGTATGTATGCCACTATATAGATAATGAAGACCCCAAGTATGTATGCCACTATATAGATAGAGCAGACCCCAAGTATGTATGCCACTATATAGATAATGAAGACCCCAAGTATGTATGCCACTATATAGATAATGAAGACCCCAAGTATGTATGCCACTATATAGATAATGAAGACCCCAAGTATGTATGCCACTATATAGATAATGAAGACCCCAAGTATGTATGCCACTATACAGATAGAGAAGACCCCAAGTATGTATGCCACTATGTAGATAGAGAAGACCCCAAGTATGTATGCCACTATATAGGCTAGATATCACAGGCACAAGTATGAGAAAATCTATTTCATATTTTATCCTTGAAGGGACAGACCGGCTATGTAACTGTAAGGTAGTCAAACTGAGTGTGCAGTGTTGGGGAAAAATTCTTTTGGATTCATTTGAGACATATAAAACGTTTACACGATGTATAATTACTGGGTTTGAGTGCATAGTCGACGTTCAAAATCATGAATTTGGGTTGGTACATTTTCAGATCGTTTTTTTTTTTAATTATTAAATAACGACGACAAAAAAAAGTAAATTAGTCAATAAATCAATGCTAAGAATCAAGTATTTCGTTTTCATCATTTTATCGAATTTCTTGTTTTCTATGAATTTGTTCGCAGATTTCTACAAATTCTTAAAATGTCGTCTTTTCAATAATAATTCCAGAAAATCTGCAGAAAATCATTGTGAATAATCAGAGATTATAGAAACTGTTAATTGAATAAGATTACTTATTTTCTATGATTCGAAATAATTTTTATTTTATCAACCTGTTCATAAACAACTAATTAATTTACTGTATAATTTTCTTTACATTTTTTGTCGTCGTTATTTAATAATTAAAAAGAAAGGCAATTCTAAAAACGTATCCACCCAAAAGTACGATTTTGAAAGTCAACTTTGCCCTTTGACAGATCTTTAAAAAGTTTTATATGTCTCAAATGAATCCTAAAGAATTTGTCCAAAACACTGCATATTCAATTCAACTACCTTACATAGCCGGTCTGTCCCTTTAAATGCTATAGAGAAACCGAAGTGTGATGAATTAAGATATTTTGTTTAAGAGTTTCTGAAATACCATGGGCAAACCCGGGCTATTTATTCTGGAATTAACTAATTTTCTAAACATAAGTATATCATTAACAAACTAATTTTTAGGTTTACTGCTGGATTCAAATCTACATTTATCAACCTTCCTCTGGAATAAATTAGAAGAAAAACATTTGAAGGGATTGTCATGTAGTGTAGATGTTATTTCAAGTTACCATCCATTTACAGGGACATGTCAAAATAGCTTGCGGATTTCAAGAGCTGACATAAAATATTCTTTTTAAATAGTGTTCTCTGATTTTTAATGATTTTATTTGAATCTTACTACTTCTACAATTCTATAATTCAAGTGCATTCAAATAGCAATAAAAAAATTCATCTTTAATCTTTAAAAGGGCTGTAAGTTTTAGTGACATTAAATAGAGGCATGCCCAATTCACATTTGTCTCAACAAAAAAATTACATTACATTAATGTTGTCTTCATTCCACAGTTTAATGGGGATCACTGTTCTAAATATGAATTCAAATTTAAACTCATACAACCCCTTCCTTTAAACATTCTTTAAGTTATGCAGGACCTTACCCTGAGATTTTGAGACAGGAAATGTTTCCAATTTGTATCCCTTTTTCAAGTCATATTATTAATTAATGGAATCATAATACTTATCAAATAATTGAATCATCACAGTAAAATTTGTGATTTTTTTCAGAAGAAAATAATTTCTTCTTTCATGTTCGTCTTCAATCTACAAATAAATATCCCCTTTCCTTTGTAATAAATGAATCTTCAGATTGAAAAGTATTTTGATTGATTTGCATATGTTAACGATATTTTATAGTATATAAAGTAAGCTGCAGAAAAATTAAAAAGTGCTATCTGCCATTTTTGAAAGAATTTAAAACTTGGGACTTTTTTGCTAAAAAACCGGTAATATATATTATAAAATATCCATGAATTAGATGTATAATTGATGTTTTTCTCTCTTAATTGTTTCCACACCATTGATGTCAAATAAAGTATTGCATATCGAGACCAGGGATATTTTTTTTTGCCCTGTTGCATCGTCCTTGATCCGAACTCTAAAGTAAAACAATTATTTAGTTTCACATCAGTTTATTATTATTATATAAACTATAAAATTTAGTCTTATGTACATATCACTTAGCATAAATGGTCCATAGAAAAATCCGAAAATATTAATCACCACAAGATGAACGACAAATATCTCAGACTCGTTAAAGGTTTACAAGAAACCCAAACAGTGAGAAGTGAAAATACAGAGGAACGATTAAAGAAAAAAATAAAAGTTTATCAACAAGGGTGAGAATCAAAAAAGTAAAAATACAGAGGAATGATTAAAGAAAAACAAAAGTTTACCAACAAGGGTGAGAATTAAAGGTATAAACAAGTTGAAAAATAAAATTCAAGACTTTAAAGTATAAACGAGAATAAAAAAAATCTTTTTTTTAAATCTCTCCTCTTGAAAATTAAGGCTGACAGAGGCACGGTTGATCACTCCCTTCTCTAAAATGGTCCTGGAGTACATTAAGCTCTTGACTAAGAAATTAAAGTCTATTAAAGGGTTCCATGAAACCCACCGGAGTAAGCTGAACCACTAACCGTTGTTCTAGAATTCGGCCAGGGCATCCATCTACGGCTTCACAGCTTCAGGATCTAAATATGACAGATTAATCCCAGGAAATTTACTGCAAAGACAACTGTCTATTAACATAAAACGTCTATTATCTGGTGATAATTTCTTTATTATTCTTTTTTTTCTACAAGAGAAGCTGTTTTAGATTCTTTTTTACTAAAACAAACAGAATTCTTTAATTTTTCCATTGATATTTTGTTTATGAGTAAACTTTAAAGATGGATTTAATCTGAACACCAAAATTTTATCTCTATTGGTTTTTGACATAAAATAAAAATAAATAATACTTTTACTAGTTGACCACAGGTCCCTGTGAATGGAGGCGCCTCCCAGCCTGAGCCAGCTCCTCCTGGAAACTAGCTGACCTGCTGACAATGTTAACCGGAGGAGGCAATACCACTGTCTTGAGGCTGGGAGAGTGGTCGTCAGTCTGACTCTTCAGATCACAAGGGGTCTCCAGACCCAGATCCTCTACCTCAGGTTCAAAGCGATGACCAATGAAGGTTGAACCCCGGACCTGCTCCCTGATCGCTCAGCCTGACAAGCCAACATCTCTTAGGCGGCAGCTGCTGTGTAGGTAAGAAAAAACCCAGCAGACCCTGCCCTAGCCAGTTTGCTCAACCAGATATTTATGGATCGCCAAACCTCCTGGCAGTCTAAAGTAGGAAAATTTTGAATTGGATTCGTGAATTTTTTTTAATGCAGTCAAATGACGCTGAGCCACAACCAAGACAATATTTCAATAAACCACTTTATTTGTACAACTCTCCCCCCCCCTTTTCTTTTTCTTTCCACTATTGACTTCCCATTTTTGTGTCAAAGAAAAAATTAAGGTTTCTACTTTTTGATTCCATTCCAATTAAAGCAGAACAAATCTTAATTTACAAGAGGAAGAAAATTTAAAAATTAACGATTGATTAATAATCAAAATTTCTGACCTGTCCCCAAGGACTATAACTCCTGAACCCCTGAGTCCTCCTCAGGATCTCCTCAAAGACGTAGGCAGGGTGCACCAGGGAAGGCGGGTAAAAGTAGACACGAAGACTTGACTGACTCTGCTGACCATCCAACTGATCATCATAATCAGCAACAGCACGAGAACTACCACCATCGCAACCTTGATGATGAAAGAAATCTGATCGGCCTCCTCGTCCTTCTCACTCAGCTGAACCCCCAAACTCTTGAGAACAATCTTCAACAGACTAGCCTGGGCCCTCTCCCGCATAGAGATCTCTTCCGAACAATCAAGGAAATCTGAACATAAAAAATTAGGAATATTTGAAAATATTTGTAATGCAGTCAGAAAGAAAAAAGTGAATTAGTTTATTCTGAGCTTATTTCGATCATAAGTGAGAATCTGAAGATAAAAAGACGATTTTTCTTTCTTTTTTTCACTGAACATTAACAACAATTTTCCGAAAATAATCTTTCTTTTTTATTGTTGTAGCTCGACCAAGGACTCACACCCTTAAAAGTTTTATTGCAAACAAATTAAAATTGAAAACTGAAGAAAAAAATTCAAATTAAATTCAAATAACCGTCAATCTTACTGTTACGCTGCAAGCACATGCTTCGTTATTAAAGTCTATAATGCACCCCTGTTCCTTCCAATATTCATCCCTGTTTTCAAGATGAAGAACGAGAATCTAAATACATTAGAGATTTTATGACTGAACTCAGAGGAATGAAGAGAAAAAAATAGTTTTTAATTAATTGTAAACTGTAATTCAGTATCTTTTATTAAAAAAAAGAGTTGTTTTTGTCAAATTCTTCAAAAGGTTTAAATAACCCTCCTTAAACAAATGATTGTCTTAAAACTTTTTTTTTAAAGTGAATATTTGCAAATTATCTTTCTTCCATCTGATAATCTGAGTTTGTTTCCCTTATGTCCATTTGACAGTCCAAATTTTTATTTTGAATAATCTTTTTTGTTTGTTTATTTTCTTGTGATTTTTAACAAAAAAAATGTTTCATTTTTTTACCGATTTTAATGGTTATTATATCATTATAACTGACAAGGGTCAACCTAGACCGAAATATATTTTCAATAAATGTGGAACTAACATCTACTATTTTACTCTACAGAGGTTTGGTCCATCACCATCACCGAATTTTCTGCAGGCAGGAAAATTGGACTTTTTAAACGTATGTTCTGTCTGTGTTCTTGTTTCAGTTATGTCTGATGGTGATGAGGTTGGAGAAAGGATGAACAAGATCCAACCCTAGACTGAGTTGCTCCAAGGTCTATGGGAGGACAAGAGAGAGTGGATCATGCTAAAGAAAAGGGATTGCCACTCGGCAGTCGGAACAAAGACCCCATCCAATCTACGGCTCCAACATGTCTTCAACATGGATACTGATCACTACCTTGCGCCAGGAAGCCCCAATATCCATATCATTTCTCCAATCCTGAATACCATCAATCATTAGATAACAAATAAATATACTCTGGTTTCAACATATTTTCTGCTTACTACTTTTCAGAGACCAAATCAACAATGGATTGAATGAGAAAGACAAGATTTAAGATCTACATTTTAAAGTTGGAGCACCCCTAACCCCCAACATATAGTTGCTTCGATATATTTTATTAGACTGCCTTTTTATCTGCATAGTTTGAATTATAAGTTATTATCTATCTATTCATTAAACTTGAAAAAGAAATGTAAATTAAAAAAGAAAGTTAAGGTTAAATACATAATCTTATTATTCCAAATTAGAATATCTTGTTATACTAGTCATATTCAAACTAAAATTACCAATAAATAAATAAATATAAACATAAGTGAATATACAAAATTCAAAACATACACATTAGTATGAAATACTCATATAAAATGATTATCAGTAAAAAATGACAGAACAAATAAAAATTTTAATAAATTAAAGTAAAAAGTTTTTGATAAAATGACAAAATCATATTTTAGCTATTTGATATTTATCTATCAATGAGATCTGTGAAATAATCTTCTTTTCTTTCTGTGAGGAAGGGTTTACTTCTATATAGATGTTTTATTCCAGGCCAATATAAAAAACTAATTTCGAAAATTTTCTCTATATCCTTATCTGAAAAGAGTTAACGTTACTTTTTGGATTGTATGGTTGATTTCCGATTACATTAATGAGTGTGACTGAGAATCCATATTAATCTCCTGAATTTCTAAGAAATCAACAAAAGCAAAATATTGTGCAGATCTCCCACAAATATTAGCTTTACTCTTAATAATGCTTGACTCTTAATAATGCTTAATAATAAAGACGGGGTCTAATGAAATACTTGATTTATCTAAAGACAGCAAATATTAAAAAGACAGTGATAAATCTTGTAAATCAAGATTTATTTCTATGCATGTATTGATCTTAAAATAACTTGTTATATAACCCCATCCAATAAGTGTCACAAAAGAGAAGAAACTCACAGATAGAGCCACAATTATAGGTTGAAATAGAAGAGAAAAGTGTGAACAGTTTCTTTAAAGAAGTCTAATACAGTATATTTGAGCATAGAGGTATGAAGTAATGATTATGGATAATTGCATAATAAAATTTTTATCTGCCCCCGGCAGTTGATATGTTGATTTGATGCTTCAGATTCTACAGAAAAGTATCAAACGTATCTTATAAATCTTCTCGTTTTTATATATCTATATCTATATCATCAGGGGCATAGTGGGGGGGGGTGGTACCCCTGTGCACCCCCTAGAGTCAGAGATCATAACTCCGATCTAGGCAAAGCTATAGGTTCCCAAGCTAGTATCTAGTGAACTTCTTGTTTTTATCTATATAAATATAAATAGGGGTGGGCATATATCTATATATAAATAGGGGTGGGCATCTATCTATATATAATTAGGG